AACAGGCATCCCGTTAAGAGCTACGTTTGATTTAGTTTCCTTTCAGTCCCCTGGAGAGTGCATGCAGTCATACTCTGTGAATGTCACTCTGTTTTCCCTTCATCTTTATTTATTTGCTTTTGTTTTTCCTCTTACTTGAACTTACCGCCTCCTTCCTTCCTTTCCTCTGACAGTGGTGCAGACGACCTGTTACCCATCCTGTCCTACGTGGCTCTGCAGTGTCAGTGTCCTCAGCTGGTGTCTGAATGCGCTGCTTTGGAGGAGTTCATTCATGAAGGGTGAGTCATCCGCATGGAAAGTGATGATGTCCCTGCGAGCAGATAAACATACAGTTTGGTGCATAAATACATAAAATAACAGTAAAACGTGAGTATTTCGTTAACATGCTGCTGCTCGGTAAAATCTTATTTATTCCCAAGTTTAAAATAAAGAAACTTTTTGTCTGAAAGGCTGTAATGAGACCTTCCTCAGCTCTCTTAGGTGCCTCTTGTAGCCTGTGGAGTGATTCTATATGAAGGACAAAACTAAAGCTTTGCCTCGCGCTTTGCCTCGCGCTTTGCCTCGCGCTTCGATCCAGCAGTGAGCAACAATCACAGACGACAACCAGCACACCACCACAAAAGGACAAAACACTAATGTGGCTTCAGGTGGTGCCAGCGACAGTGTTAGTGAGCAAACAAACAGGGGCTAGATAGTCGGCTGTAGCATTTCAGGCCCTCGGGTGAAGACTGCAGTCGGCATCAGCTGTATATTCTTTATGTGGAGGGAGAGTTTGGATTTTGGAATCAAATCTAAACCAAATTTCTTTCTTCTAGCTAAAGATACTGAAGACTAGCTAACCTGCTAGTTCATTCAGACTCATCTGAGAAGTTGCTGATCGTTATTTTAAACTGGTCAGCTAACGTTGGCCCTGTTTGTGCAGAGTAGCTAAATTAGAGCTAGCTGGCTAAAAATATCCTTACTTGAGAACAGTCACAAATATTTCATCAAATAAAACTGAATTCAGAATTATGTTGATTAGAATCTGACTGCTGATGTTGCTCGACGTCTGCTGGAGACACAAACGTGACAATAAATAGCAAACACTCTGACCATGAGAAATGATGCTGACACTGGGTCTTCTGTGCAGATCTAAATAAACACAAAGCAACAGCAGAGCTTCCAGTTTTCATCTTTGTCAGGGTTAAACATCCAAATCAAATGTTTTTCAGGCTGAAGTTTTGTTCTTTTCTGATGATGATTGGTGCAGAGCACGCTCATGTCACCAGAAGCAGCCAAGTGCTGTTCGGCTTGAGCCATACGTCTTTGGCAGAGTAGCATGTGAGTTTACACACCACACCCAAAAGGTCTCGTCATGTCTCCAAAAAGGGTGGATTTTAAAAGCCGGTTGGTTAGACTGGCATTGGCTGAGGAATGTCAGGATATTTGGGATTTGGTTTTCTTCTCTATAAAAGTGCAAATAAAGTCCTTGCTTGTTTAGATCGTTCACGTTAGAGGAGAGACTCCCGTTCTCACAGAAATGCGTTGAAGTAAAAGCTGCATGAAAAGTATAGAAAAATGTGAATTTGACAGAAATAACTGACCTCGAATCACAACGTACACTTAACTCAAATCAGAGCAGTAAAAAGAAGTTTGACTTTAAACTCAGCCACAAATGTGTCTGATATTTTCATCTGAGGGAAAAAAGTTGACTGTAAATTCATTAATTAAGGAGTTAACTTAGTTTTTAGTCTGCAGTGTGAAGGATTAAACGCTGTGTTCACTGATAACATGAAAGTGCAACTGTTTGTGCGCTGCTACCCTGATCAGTTTGTCTATGATTGTGACTTGGATAAAGATCGGAG